GATGTTGCTCATACCAGTCCATTGATAGGTACTATCTTCCAAAGTACCATCCTTGACTCTGATGGGATCGAAAGAAATTCTCAATAATCAGCATCGATCCAAAAAAACCTACTACCAGTTAGTCACTTGAGCATAGATTTTCTAGATACCACTGTTTACAAAGGAGATTCCTTAGCATAAACGAATAAACTTGATATTAAGGTATTTTTTTAGGAAACTGATACTCCCCAAGTCTTGCACAAGAGATCATTTCACTCAAAGCATACCTTTCCTGGTATTATTATCTCACTGGTTTTACGATTTTATCGAATTGGAAAGTTGGTCTATCGTTTTCTGAGATGTTCAAATAGTTGCACTCCTTTTTTGTGGGTTTCATAAATGCTGAACGATCAAAGACTGGTTATTATTGAAACCGTAAGGCTCATTACCGTCTTCCGACGAATTTTTAGATTTCTTTTTATCGATGTGCATGTCTAGTGACTTGTGACGTTGAATATTTTCCTCATTATTCTAGTCCAGGGTTTCTCAACGACTTGCGACTTCCGCTTGCAAAGTGACTCACGACGAATTTTTAAAAGAAACTGGAAATAAGAGTCAAGTGAAAAATAGTGATACTCCATAATGAAATACTGAAGGTATTTTACTGTTAGATAGAATAAGCTGAACGGGAGAGTTTTTCAGTCTTAATAGACTAACAAAAACACGTTCAGCTCCATGTGTAAGGGGTGTCGACCCATTGCCCCCCACCATACCTGTTACGCATTAGTTACCCCAGGCATAAGAAGTGGCGCATTCACTAGTTTATTTGAGAAACTCTGTTCTGGTCTCTGTAAGATTTAAGGGCAGGATTAATACGAGAAAGGCCGATGTCAAGATTTTGAACCAATGACAAACGAGAAAACACGTTCTTACAAGATCGTATCCTGATACAAATCGTGTCTACGTCACACGCTTGTTCACATTCGACAATAAAATCTAAATCAAAATCTTCTTAATTGACATTACTTGTGTTTTAACAAACAATTCTATACTTCATTGAGCACAATTACTAAAAGTTTCCATGTTAACACCATATTTCTTCCCACACAGTAGTAAGCTTTAGCTAAATAGCAGGTTTCAAATAGTTTGCTCTACAATGACAAACACTCGGTAGCACAACAGAGGGCAGTTGCAATTGGGTTTTTGTTAATGCCATACGAAAAAAGTAATTTACGAATAATTTTACGAATACCGTCGATAAGTGAAGGTAATAACTAAAAAGCATCCTTCGAAAGATCGAACTCATTTCAAATTCACAAAGCATAATTTTCTTCAAATCTGATCAAAACTAAAGTTCCTGTTGAGTATCACTATAAGCCAATTTTGGAGTCTTTGAGTTACGTCTTGGGCAATAACTTGTCGATATACATAAGCGCAGTAAGCATCGAGAATATAATAATCTGTAGCCGTCATTGGTCTCAAAACAAAGAATAAAATAGTATGTAAACTAAAGAATGTAATTTTGTTAGACATGTTAAACATAGTGAAGGTAAACGCTGGCTAGATTTCACGATGTTAAAAATTTAATAATCAAGGGAGGCAATTCGTAACGAAAATTAATATTATGGATTGGTATTCAAGACAATTGATTGCTGAGGTGCATTAGAACAGATAGACCAGACAGAAAAAGCACCATGGACAGAACCATGTTCTGTACGTTTTTTTCGCTCGTTTGAGTTTGAACTTTTAAAAATTCGCATTCGATTTCTATTAATCGAAGTGTTAAATTGAGTTGTGTCCCTGCTATTACTTGTGCCATGGTACATAAACATTCTCGCCTTAATTAGTGATAATTATATGTGGCTTATAAGGCGAAATTAGGTTTATGTATTTTCTGTTCCTGATGAAGGAGTTATCGAAGATAAGCAACGCCATGGAGAACAAAATGGGGAATCTTGCCAGGTTGAATTAGAACATCTACGTCCTGTAGCTCAGGGATCTCGATTTAAGGACCGTGCGACTTCTTCCCGACCTGCATTGGAAACGTCAGGGTTCTATAATCCTGGACTAGTGATTTAATGGTTTAGCCGCACTGTTAGAGGAGAGAAAACAATATTATCCCTTTAATGACATAAAATGGCATAAATGAAATATGTGTTACTGGTGCATTATAAGAATGATGTGTAAATGTGAGAAAAGGCGTCGAGTTGGAAGGTGTGTTAGTTAGACTTTTAGGGGGTGACATATAAAAAGATTATTTATTCCTCCCACATGATTGATGTGTTTTTCTAGATGATGATGTTGCTACAATATTAAGGATAGTTTGATGGGCAGCCATAATCCGGTCCATCAACTTTTCTTGTCCTTTTTCTATGGTGGTGATATTAGAAGGATTATTGATAGACGTGGAAAAACTATTTTGTACATAATTTATAACCTTGTCCTAACAGTATCAAGGAATATGGTAAATACTATATAATAATTCATATTCGTAGAGGCTCATTTTTCATGGATCGAAGCCTGTACCTGAAAAAGAGAACACAATTAACGTCCCCATGTATTTGCTTTTCAGACAGTTTTAAGTTCAACGACTCAGGGTGTCGGCTTGTGCCATTTTTCACACCCACGAGAACGCGTCGCCTTTTTCCTCGCTTTCTCTACTTCTAGCCTTTACCTCTCCTTGTCTGCTCGCTTTTTTTCCTTTCCTTCTCGTCTTCCCACTTTCTTCAACTCCTTCTCCTCTTCGCCTATTTTTTTCCGCTACTTCTCGTCTTCTGTCGCCCTTTCACTTCCTTTTCGCATTTTCCTCTTCTTCCCGTCTGCTCGTTTTTTTCATTTCCTTCTCGTCTTCTCTCGCTCTTTCACTTCTTTCTCGTCTTCTCGCCTTTTCCCCTTCTTCCCGTCTGCTCGCCATTTTCCTTTCATTCTTGTCTTCTCGCTATCTTTGACTCTTTCTCCTAGTATTTTTCCACTCCTCGTCTGCTCGCCTTCCTTTTCTCTTTCTCTTCTTGCTTAACAGTGCAAAATCGGCGCAAACACTGCGGTCGTATGAACAAAAAGTGAACCATGCTAAACAATACTTAACCTATGCGTAAACAAGTAGTGTCATCGAGTGTCCCTTTTTTGGTCGTGCATTATGTATAAAGGGTTTAACTTTAGCATGTTCCTAAACGCTGCGATCCGTTGCGAAGCACTGAAACAACACATCTTGCTAATTATCTACGCGGCATTGTAGGACACAATCGTTCTAGTGTCGGTGTAGTTGGAATTTAGCCAACTTGAATATTATCAGGCTTTTTCACCATTTTATTGCATTTCTAATGCATTTTTATAATATAAAGGTAGGGTTATTCAGTTCAACTATCCAATAATTAAACTACGTAGACTGTTCTGAAAGCAGGGTCGTTAGGAACTTGGTGGGTAATTCTTAGTGCATATTCATAATATTGTATATAATCCTTTAAGCCCCAAAATATTGCGTCCCGATCCTAAACAAAGATATCGGATACTAAAATAGACTTGTATATACCAATTTGATGTATATAATATCTATTGATGTGCAAATAATGTATTCAGTTATAATCCCAGTGGCTTGAGAAACCAGACGTATGTCCGCAGTTTATTGTACCCTTTAATAGCAATTCATACTGCCTTCCGTTATGAATGAAAAATATGTATATAAATGGCACAGTGTACTCTGTGTAATCCGAAATACACTGAGATCGTAAAACAATGTCGGATTAGCGAGAGTGTCTGGGGAGAATCAAAGTTCCGAGATTTTTTATCATGTGCGACATGTTACTATTAATATGTTATATTTTTTTACTATGTATGTCAGTTCATTCGCATCTTCACAGTGGTCAAGGGAGCCGCGGTGGCTCAGTGAGTTAAACATTTGCTCGCTAACCTGAAGGTCCAGGGTTCAATCCCGGCATAGGTCGAGATGATACCTTCGGATTTTTCAACCCGGTTTCCCCCTGTCAGTGATGCAGGTAAGACATGGAAAAAGCGTCTAGTCGTTCGGAGGGGACAATAAACCGAGGCTCCGTGTGCCACATGGTGCAGAAAAGTAGGACGTATCACATTTTTTCCGTGATACAAAAAGGTGGCTATTGCATTCAAGGTATAAGACGAAGTTCGTAATAACTTGACATTAAGAAATTGGTTTAATCAATGCCCAAGGTATCTGTGTCATGAAAATTTAAACAGTGTTGTGATAGGTTTGTGGTCGTATCCATTTGTGCACCCTGCTGTTCTGCTCCAGTTTTGACTAATAAAGATAAAAAACACCATGCAATGTGCAATGGAATAAATTTTGTCAGGGCAGCGGCAATAGCCTGTATATTTCGTTTAGCGCTGTAGAATTGTAAGATGTGATTGGACACTGATCCCCAAGCTGCTGAGATTTCTTTGTAGCAAAATAGGTGAAATGAAATGGGTTTCCAGTACTCTTAGTAATAACGGTATGACGACTTCTAGCAACATTTGGGCTTGGGCATTTACTTCAGCAAATGAAGTGAGTGGTTTCCTGAAACGTACATGACCATTTATTAGATAGCTCTTCCAAATAAGTGCAGTACTCTACCCATTATACGTATCATCCATGTTTGTCCAGTCTACATCCAATTTAGGGACAGGTTCGCCATCCGTTTGACCAATCGTACCTTAGTTTCAGAAACGGGATTTTCTTTTAGCTAAGCTAATCAGTTATGGTGTTCACAGCTCATCGTCGAAATCTGAGCCTTCAAATCCATGTGTGTCCTGAATTATCGTTTTAAATATAAAAAGACGACTAGTCTTGTCTTGAGGATCCGCCATACATAAAAAAGACATAGGGTGTATAAAGAAATAGATAGAAAATTCCTAGTTGTAGATGCTTTTGAAGGAAATATGCGATTTTCGTACATTTCTAGTACTTCTAGAGACTATTTACATATATTAAAGACCCAATTCAACCCCCGAAAATGGCGAATCTGTCTCTTTAACCATATTAAATATATTCAAATAAAATACTGTGTATTGGTTTTACAAATTTATATTTTAACGATTAGCTTAAATATCATTGTATCATAAATAACAAATTGCCTTTATACAATTTGACGACAGAATTAGCGCTTCGTACAAATAACACATAAAGCGGAACGCAAATATTGTTAACCACAATAAAATAGTCCAAATGCTAATCTGTATCTGCTTCTTGTACAGTACCAAATAATATCATATCTTAAAGTTTCTAACCAGCGAACTTCACTACAATTGTTTTGGGGTCCAGTGAAATCACCATAACACGTCGGGTACTTGTCAAGGCACACGAAAGCTGATAAACACAGCACATCAATCGACCCGTAAACTGGACCCCACTGTTCTATATCTCCTTTCCGTGCATTTTTGTCTGATCCCATCACAGAAGCTAGCTGTACAATGACAACAGAACTACACAGCGAACTAAGAGGCAGAGATAGGTTTTTACGGAGGATCTAGGTAATGTTACTCATGTCGCCTGGTGAACGAACACAAGAATGGCGGCCACCTTATTTCTTTCTTATCAGTGTAAAAAACGAAAAATACCCATATATAATATAAATAACGTCATGTTAGCACACTAAACTGTGCCATGCACGTTCTTGTTGATTGCACCATCTGATGAGGGGTAATAATAATAATAATAATAATAATAAATTTAAACACAATGTTTAACTAGCACATAACAAAATCCTAAGTAACTTATCGTCCACGCCTTCTGGATTTCTGCTTCTTAGAACAGTCACAACCCACCGTAACATAATGTCGCACGAAGAACCACCGTTCTTCATATGTTGCGTTTAGTCCAATAGTGGGAATAGGGTTACACTGATCGGGGTCTCTCTTTAAAAGTTTAATGGCATATTTCTTTGGAATACAGTCATATAATCTATAAAAACACTTAGATGTTTGACATCGTCCAGTTTGAACATAAGTAGGGAAGAAACCAGTTTTCATTCTTTGCCAATCAGGCTTCATTTTGCACTCCCATGGCGGTGGTTTTTTAAACAAGTTTTTTCGAACTTTTGCACGGATTTTCTTTTTCAATTGTTTTCTGGCCTTTTTGTTCTTTCCACTGAGTAAAAGTTGAAGATGAAGATCAACATCACCTCCACGTTTGTCTTTATTTAATAATAACTGTTGGAGAGTATTATCATCGAGGTCATCGGCTATGTCCCGTTTTTTACGCATAAAATTATAAATTGGAGTATGTGTTGTCGAATCACCCGCTGGATGCGGATGTGCATCTCCTTCTGAGTAGTCTATAATATCACTTTCGCTCACCTCGTCATCGACAGTGTCAAAAAATTCACTGTCCTCGTCCTCATCCTCCTCAAAGTCACTTCCCTCAATATCACTGGCACTACGTTTCATAGAGTCGTCACTATGTGACATGTGACTACGATCAAATGATCCACCCATCCGACGTCTTAGTTCACTTTCTGATATGGGTTGACAGAATCTGCTTTTGAAATACACCGCAGATCCTTTCTCGGTATCTTCAACACGGGGGGAAGCAATACACGATCCGGCCAACATTATGAGGAGAAATACCACGTAGGCTATTTTTGTAATCCTATTCACCTAAAAAGAGAAAAAAGAATGAAAATTAAGATGATGATTTATAAGTTACATGTAATAACTATGAACAACGTGTATGGGTATAATCGCAAAAAAATCATTTCAAGGGGCGGAAAAACGTCCGTATCATTGACATAGTAGCTGAGAAATATTTTAACGTCTGATGATGACATATCTTTAATTGTCTGAATGGATTGAAGTGGGTCAATGAGATAACCTTGTTGAACGCCACCTTTTCCTGAACATAAATACGGTTTAAGACATTATTGTGGTCGTTTAAACATATGACAGACTTGGTTTATACACTAACTACGACGGAAATAAGAGAACAATGCGTCATTAATAAGATAAGTTCATTAAATGTAATTTACAGTCCCGAACATGCGGCTAAATTTAGAATGGAATGTTAATCTTCGTTGATAATTCATACATTGCTTATTATACAAATTACATGGTGGTGGTGTTTAACTGCCGAAATTAGGCCTCTCCTCTGTCAGAGTATTCGTTACTTTTTGTATTAGACATGTGGAGATTGGATTCGCCAATGGATCACCAATCACACTACTTATGTTCTTATTACTTTAAATTAAGCAGTATATTAAAGTAACGGCATTTCTGAACCTATGCCTTCGTGGATCCAAGTTTCCAATAGAAGACAGAGCCTTTTAAAATGTCATTCACATAACTTTGAATTTGAATGTCAATGTCAATATTCGTTTATTTAAAGTCGACAATTTCATAAATATATGTCCTTGAAACTTGTTTTTTTTTATTTTGAGTGTTTCCGGAAAGGTACATTTCAAGTACGGGCCAAATTTAGTCCCATATCAGTCTATGAAATGGATTCTCAGCGGATGAGTGGAATCGGGTGTCTCAATAGGTGGTGTATAAATGCTATTGTATGATAATAATCAACAAAAATGTAAAGGATACGCCAAAATAAAAAAACAGCAAAGTACAATCGAAGATATTTGAGAATTTCGATAACAAGTTAAAATATAATTCAGACATCAGTTTACCATTTTATTAAATGTAAAAATGTAATGAGAATGTAAATATTTACTAACCTGAACTGTAGTTGTTCTATTCTGGCCGACATACGGCCCTAAGAGGAAGGAGCGAGACAGTGCACCGAGACACGACAGACCAGAGTAGGATGTCATGACAGGACACAACTCTCCCATGAGATATTGCTGCGAACTGTCTTGCAAGGAACGCTAGTAAAATCCATTACAGTCTGTTGCAGATAAAGGCTTTCATTCTTAAATCTCACTCGAAATAATAAATGTCAAAAATAGAGTTTAACAAATTGTCCGAACACAGGAGACTTGTATCCGATATCTTCTAGTCTGTTTGATTGTAGAGGGTTCCGATTCAATCTGAAACGAGAAAAAAAAGAAAGAGAATAAATATAAAGCGTGGATAAAAGGTGTGGGAGGATGGTAACACTTGAAATTGACATGATATAGTTCATATACAGTTATCGTTAGATAAATTAATTGTAATCCTACTAATCGAGCTATTTGCCTATTGTACGATTTAATAGTCCATGTTATCAAGCCATTTCATTCAGCTGTAATATTACAAGTGGAGATCGACAAAGTAGTTCTGAACACTTTCAGAACATAAACTCGTTTAAGTGACTGTTACAATTCGGATTTCATTGGTCTGAATTGCCGATAACATAGAATTAGGCGTGCTATAAAAGTAGATTCGAATCTATGCCGATTCTACAAAATAGGAGAATTTCGAAACTCTGAAAACGACGAATCTATGCTGATTCTACAAAATAAGATAATTTCGAAACTCTCAAAACAACGAAATCTTTCAAAAAAATATCCAACTTGTCTCTCCTTTTTACGTTTTAACCGTAAGGTCATCCTAATTTAAAATATAATATATAGTCCTAATATAGGAAAAACCGATTAACACGAGTGACCATTCACGTCAATAAAAACTACATTTTCTTATAAGGAATCATATAAAAGACCAGTTAAGACAATTTCCATCGACTAAATACGAATTATACGGGAAGCTCATATTTAGAAATCATTCTATTTGACAATCAAATCTACGAATCTCCAATTTTCATATTTTTACATCGTCCAATTACACTGACGAAAAATACAATTCCAATACTTAAGTCCGAGTTACACTACAGAGTTAAAATTTAATACAGAATCAGAATGACTTTATAGACTGCAATAGATCATCAATCTCTTTTGAGTCTTCAGCTTCGAATCGTGCAATAGACGGAATCCATAGTGCGATTAATAGCTTTTCACAGCTAAAGAACACACAGACAAAAGTTTCCAAAAAAAGTAAGAAGACGTACATACAACATATTGGCGAAGGATTGGTAGCAGGTAATGAACTTTTCACACGAGGAAGTATATCTATCATAAGTGAGTAAGTATTTCATACTGAAAAGAGGTATCAGGTGTCTAGAAGTGTAATCATACCCTGTCTGGCGCCACTATTTGAGTTGTGTTCTCATAACTGTAGACTGTCAGATTAACAATACAAGTTTAAACAGACTTTTTAAAAGTATCATTATATTGAGAATAATCACAGAATCCTATTCTAGACCATATAAACTCCGTATATTGTGTGGTGATCTTATCATTCTCTCATACATGTCGACAGTATAATTAATAGCAATTTCGATTTTTAGCGACTTTCAACTTTAATTTAATTATTGACTTGAACTAGACACTCAATAACATGAGTTGAAGCCAGTGAGCAAGAACGCTTAAAGAGTGGTTACCCTTTAGAAATAAATCAAACTACACTACATTACAGTATCGCCAAGGTGCTCGCTGCTAAAAGTCTTAATTCAAAGTCGCACATTCAAACTCTACGTAGTTTTTCAATATATATATTTTTTTACTTTTAAAGGAAACTGCACTACTCAAGTCATGGAAATATTTTGCATGACACTACTATCATTGAAAATTGTTCCTGGGATGGTGTTTTGTGATTAAAATACAACGTTTCGGAAATAGGACCACTAAAGTCATTTGTTGTTAGAAACGGTCTATGCCTCCTTTAATGTACATGTATGACTAATTGCTTGACACATCGCTAGTGATTATTGCATAATAATATGCCAGAAAAAATGGTAATAGAAATAGTAATCCCATTGCATTATGTAACATAAATTAGTAATTGCTTAGTTCTCATACACATCATTATTACATATTGCATTATAATATGCCAGAAATTCTTACTAAATGGCAATAGCCCTTTAAGTGTAATAGGCGTGGCATCTTGAAATCAATGTTATTGACAAAGAATATTATTAATAGACAGCGAGAAGCTATATATATCCTCATCTGATAGTTCAGCGTATTGCTTTTTAACAATAAAAATATCTATTAAAGTTACAACTTTTTTCTCCTACTAGCACGTCTTCCCATACAATAAAACTATATTAAACACCTTACAATGACGCAAGAAGACCTTTTTTGCTGGTGAAGCGGATTTTAACGCCATCATATCTAAATCTATATCAAAATCTATATATCGATGCCTTCAATATTTGTTTTATCAGTTGAGAAAATACATGTATCGTCATAATATAGAAAAAGTATATGAAGTTTCAAACTTTTAGAATTGCATAACCATACATGGAATAAAGTAAGCCAAAATTAAATCGCATGTCCATTATCCTACACGCAATCTTCAAAACGTAAAGTATGAAATTCACTTTCTTTCCCAAACGGATAACTTTAATTTGAGTGAATAAGTTAAAAGATATAAAAATATTTACCTTCTATTAATGTAACAGTATTCCAATAAAAACTTAATAAGATCATAAACACACTTGTTCAAGTCCAGAAGTTTCACGTATATACAAATGTTGAATAATGGTTAGCTATTATAAGCTAAGTTACGATGTCCGTCGATCAATACAGTAGATTTACCAATAATCTCCGATCCTTTTCACATCTATCCATATACCCTACCAAACGTCATTATCCTGATAGGGCGTATCCAAACACACGGAATCCGAATTGATAGGTTCAGTAGGCGATTGACTATCAGGCTTGGGTGTCATTTCCCTAGCTCATTAACTGCCATGAACATTTAAATCAGTTCCGTAATGACAGGCACTTGATCTCGTTAATTAACTGATCACTTTAATGATTACTGATCAATTTAATTGCCTTAATTAATTAATATCGTTTCAAAGTTAATTTTAGACATAATTTTTCCTCGAATCAAAGTCCATACAATTTTAAAAAATTAATTTCATGTCCGCAATTTTTAAATATTGGCTATTAATAAAGTGTCAAAAACCTTGAAAACAAAACAACTTTTTCAACCTTTTGAATTGTTTTAGAAACTGTATTGAATTTTTAACAAACTTATCCAAATCTGTCTTAGTGAATGAATTGTTAGTTTCAAAAGTTTACACAGATTTAACTTGTATTGTTTTGAAATCGATATTAAGATTGTCTCGGCGAAATTTGTCTGGAGTTGCATTTAGAAACAATGAATCGTTTATAAATCCGTTTTACAAACACACTTAGGCACTGCACAAATACAATACATTGAAAAACATAACACTAAAATTACACAATAGTATATACAAACTTAATGTTACATACAAGAGATTGCGTTAAAAATTAACAGCTATGTTTGTTACTTTTAAGATCATATGATCTGTTAAGTCGTTTCAAGGTGCGAGGATCAGCTTGAAAAGAAAGATTTTAAGCCTCTTGCACTATAAGTTAATAACACTATGACCACTGTGTCTGTCTGATGAAAAAAATTCTTCTACTTACAAACACATTTACCAGACTCAGACGACCGTTTTATGTTAGTAAATATTGCATGATCAAAACACGAACAAGATTATGTTTTAACGAACAAGGTTAACTTCATCTGAAGTCATTTATCCCAGAATCCCTTTGATTTGATTAAAATGAATATTGAACATGATGCCTTAAAACAATATTACTTTGACAATTTAATGGGATTCACGAGACTAAAATTTGAGCATTTATGTTCAAAAACGTGACCAATGCTCCTTAAAGCCATGTTCTAGATTGACCCATTTTTAATCGATGTCATAGAATAATCTCGAGGATTCAACTTTACTATACTAAAAAGTGCTACGGCGATGGTATCTAAATTCAAGCATTAATGTTCTCAAACGTGACCAAAGCTCATTAATGCCATGTTCTGGATTGACCCATTTTTAATCGATGTCATAGAATAATCTCGAGAATTCAACTTTACTATACTAAACAGTGTTACGACGATTGTCAACTAACTAATTGGTATCCAAATTCGAGCATTAATGTTCTCGTACGTGGCCAATGCTCATTAATGCCATGTTCTGGATTGACCCATTTTTAATCGATGTCATAGAATAATCTCGAGAATTCAACTTTACTATACTAAACAGTGTTACGACGATTGTCAACTAACTAATTGGTATCCAAATTCGAGCATTAATGTTCTTAAATGTGACTAATGCTCTCTAATGCCTAATGCTCTCTAATGCCATGTACTGGATTGACCAATTCTTATCGATGTCATAGAATAATCTCGAGGACTCAACTTTCCTCTCATACTAAACTTTGCTACGGCGATGGTATCCAAATTCGAGCATTAATCTCGAGGATTCAAACTTTATTATTCTAAACAGCGTTACGACTGTCAACTAACTAATTGGTATCCAAATTCGAGCATTAATGTTCTTAAACGTGACCAATGCTCCATAATGCCATGTTCTTGATTAATCGATGTAATAGAATAATCTCGAGGATTCAAACCTTACTATACTAAACAGTGCTCTAGTGAACTAATTATCCAATTTCGAGCATTAATGTTCTTAAACGTGACCAATGCTCCATAATGTTATGTTCTGGATTTATCGATGTAATAGAATAATCTCGAGGATTCAAACCTTACTATACTAAACAGTGCTCTAGTGAACTAATTATCCAATTTCGAGCATTAATGTTCTTAAACGTGACCAATGCTCCATAATGTCATGTTCTGGATTTATCTATTCTTATTTGAAATCTTGCACTAAAGCAATGAATCTTCCTTTACTACACGACTAAACAGTGCTATGGCGGCTGTCAAATACATGGTATCCAATTTTGAGCATTAATGTTCTCAAACCTGACCAATGCTCCCTAATAAAATGCTATGGATTGATGGTTCATCGTTATCTCAATGGTCTGAATGTTGAGGCGGTAAAACATTCCGAATAACCAAATAGAGCTATTTTTATCAATGAGATTATTCTAATATGAAATATATGGAAAAGGAGACAATACTAAACTACTGATAATAATGTTATTCTATCTGCGTCAGAACTCTTTGGTGAGAGTCGTTGTAACAATACCATATTGTAATC